CCCACATAACGAAATCCAGAGTCACGTCCTTCGTATGGACAAATATCATATGTCGCTTTGGTATACCGCAGGCCATTGTGATAGACAATGGGAAGCAGTTTGACAACGCCAAGTTCAAAGACTTTTGCAGCAAGCTTGGCATAAGTCACCTTAGCTCGTCCCCCGCACATCCGTAAGCAAATGGACAGGTGGAGCCAGTGAACAAGATCATCAAGCGGGGCATCAAACTTAGACTGGACTCCAAGAAAGGCAGGTGGGCCGAGGAGCTACCAGAGGTTCTATGGTCGTACCGGACAACCCAAAGAGAATCGACGGGTGAGACCCCGTTCTCCCTGGCCTTCGGCTCCGAAGCTGTAGTCCCGGTTGAGATCGGCATGCCATCTGACAGAGTAGAGCATTACGAGCCTACAGCAAATGAGGAAGAGTTGCTCCTCAACCTCGACTTGTTGGAAGAAAGAAGAGCAATGGCGCAGCTATGCCTGGCGGAATATCAAAGCAGAATGGCCAGACACTACAACGCCCGCGTTCGACCTCGAACCTTCCAAGTCGGACATCTGGTCTTAAGGAAGGTCCAAACCCATGTGGGTGCCCTTGACCCGACCTGGGAGGGGCTGTTTGAAGTCAAGGGAATAGTCCGACCTGGGACGTACGTGTTGGCCGATCTGAAAGGAGACGTCCTCGCGCACTTATGGAACGCGGAGCACCTGAAGCGTTATTATCCTTGAAATGCCGAAATGGTTTTCAATGGATCTGTAAAAACTATTTCAAAAGAATTATGATCGGAATAAACGTGATGATTTAATTTCATGATTCCGAGTTCGACCARAAATTARATGGGGGTCRYGGACTCCCACACGATCMCATTCCARCAGYCGGTTAAAATCCAATCCTCCAAAACCTAAGGGTACGAGGTGCGATGCCAAAACCACTSACGAACYTAAAATTCAAACCTTCAAGGTAAAGGRGCGATGTGAAARGTTCAAAMTGATCAAGCCTCCGAACTTGAGGGTACGAGGTGCGATATGAAGAATAGSTACGGACTTAGGATTTTAGCCTTTTAACGTTTTTAAGTTAAGGGTGCGATGTTAAMAAATCCAGAGTTGGTGCAATGCATTGAACACTAGACAGAGATTC